GTCGGGCTTGGGACCCAACCTTGGATAATCTCCAGAAATCAATTTAAAGGTTAATAAAATAATTACTGATGTAATATTTTCCCTATAATTATTACAAAAACACAAAATAAGTATAAATAAGTATTTATATTTGTGTACAAGCTGTTTAGATGGTCAATAAGCCTGTGTTTTTAGGGTTATTAATGAAGTTCGTGTACTCAGACCAGTAATATTTGGGGTCACAGGTTTTTGCCATGGAGATTTTGTGGGTCAGAAGATAAAAAGTTTGGGAACCACTGGTCTAACTCAGAACCAAGCCCACACCCTCTTCTGGACCTGGATTGTTTGAAGAGGCAGCTGATGTCAGCGTGCAATGATGCAGCAAACACGGAGAGGGGCACATTTTATAAAGTAAGATGTTAGAAGAACTGTGCTTTAAAATGGCAAATGAAACGTGCTAAACAAAACAAATAGGGCCGCTGACGTAAATAATAATAATAATAATAATAACTAAATCGAAAGCGATCCCCCAGCAACTTCTGAAACCGAAAGTTATCCTGACTAAAACACGAGAAGTCAGGCGTCATTTTGTCCGACTTCCTTTAATGAAACCGATGACTTGGTGTTCTGGACAAAAAAACGAAGTTTCACTTCATAAAGACAGAAAAATAAAAACCCTGTCCGAGATGTAAACAGTCACCGAGTGTCGTTTGTGTATGATGCTAACGTTGTGTTAGCTTCGGTAAACTCTGACTGCTAATTATTGCAGTTTCGAAGTAGAATCCGGAACTAATCACGTAACAAAAATGCCAATGACAATATAAAACTATATCTGAAGTAATTACACACAGCACCAGCGAACGTGATAAAAAGACCGATCTGTTATGGAGATAACAGCTAGCTAAGCTTGGCTAGTAGGTGAATGAAAATGAGTCAGTTGTTTCACTCTAGTCTCCTACCAGCCGTGGTAAATGATGTCCTCAGTTAGATATCAACTGCACACGGAGGATTACCGTTCATGCTCAAATGAAGGAAAACCTGTTTCTTTGAGAAAGACAGAAACGGTCAAGGCAGGACTGTCGCCCAGTGCCTGCTCGGAATTGACAGGTGAGAAAACAAAAACTTCCGGGAGTCACTTGACTGAAGTCCTTTCAAAGTAAAAGCACAAGAAGGCGCTTGGATCGAGTCGAGGCCGTGTGGTAACTAACTCAAAATTAGATGTGCAGCTTAAGAAAATAGTTCAGTAACATTGTTTACGTCGAAATGAATTCTCAATTTAATCGAGTAACTTTATATTAATAATCAGGAATAATGAAAAAAAAAAAAAAACCTTAATTGAAACACTGTTAGTTCAAATGTGTTCAGGGGGACAACATGATAACATGACTGTCCAGGTCGAAGTGTATAACTGTTTTATTTATTTATTTATTTTTATTTCTAACCAAAAACTTAAGTATAAGTAGTATACAATAATAGACAAAACTGAACATATTGTATTTTATTTTTGGAAGAGCTGTAAAACATACATAGCTAACAAGCTCTTAGCATTACATTAGCTCAAATTCAATTATATATGTGTTGTAAATAAAGAAAAAAAAAGCTAGAATTAATAATTAACGGTATAACATGCTTTAATTTCTTGTTTTTGTGCAATTTCCCGGCAATCTGATAATGCCCAAGTTTAATAAAAGTACTAATAACTTAAAGGTAAAATTGTGTAAAAATAAAATTTGATAGACTTTAGGTAAAGTGTTAAGTACAAATTAAGTACTGTTTTCTAATGTGTATTTAAGGATTTTATATCTCATGGTTCAAATGTAAGTCCTGTTAAAAACAACTTATTAATCAAGTGCTAATTTTATTATTTTTCTCTGACAAAAGCTGTAAAAGTGGGTGCCATGGACCGTGAAGAACAATCTGAAGTCTGTCCCACAAAGACTCAAGAATGTAAGGTGAACTTTTGCACATGTCAGACATGTTTCCTCACCTTCTATTTGGTCTGTTACTCTGTACTCTTTAAACTTGTTTTTCTTGTCTGACTTCAAACCTTTTACCATTTGATGATGCCCAATGTGTGTACATTATAAGTTGTATTAAGACTGTGTAATGCATTCAGTGTATGCATTCAAATTTTTAATAATTCTGGAACTGTCATGATTTATAGAGATAGGACCCAGGAATGCAAACTGACACCAGGAGCACAAGTAAAATATTATTAAATATATTATTCAGAATGGAAGAACTGACATGCGCAGAGTAGTTGTAAACTTTCCCTAAAAGTATCCAGAAGAATGTCCTGATGCATCTCAGTAATCCAGGTAAAAAATCAAAAGGAAAAAAAAAATTGTATAGGTCCTCTGGACGGGTTATCCTGACTGGGCTTTCCTGAAAGCAGACAGGAAACACAGACAGGATTCCATGCAACCTTCAGGTGAAAATGAAGACCCCAAACCCAGAC